CCGAGCTGAGCAGCCGCTGAGCTGCCAACAGGTAGCAGGATGGCTCAGCTAAAAAAAAAAAAAAAAAGATGGGCCTGATTCTCAAATAAATTTGTACACACTTTTCAGTAGCAGGTAGCATGAAATAGCTTTTCACCATGATCTGGTTTTCTCCAACCACAGGAAAAAACCTCAGACATTCACATGTAATGGAAAGCCAACTTCATAGAAGGAACCCAGGCCTGTTTTGAAATTTATGGTGAGATGAGAATATTACTGAATTCGCTGAGTAAGCAGTTTTTTAAAATAAATTTCATAGGTTAAGTTAATAGTTTTGTTTTTATGGTAACAGCACTAATTTTTATGAGAAATGAGAATATCTGTGACTTGTGTTTTTTGTTTTCTAAATCAAATTTGCCATAGTCATTCTTCATTAGATACCATTTAAGAAGTAGTTGTTATCTTTAGGGAGCTCCTTGTGTTTTTCTGGGAAGCAAAAGCTAGACATTGGGAAAAGGCAATGGCAATACAAAGTAAAAATCAAAACTGACAAAAGTTATTCCAAGGTGATGAATTATGAAATCTCACTGGTGCAAACAGTAATTGCTAACAGTTCAGTTTAAAACAGTATACTGCTCAATCCATGGAATGGTGCTATTCTTTTGTTCCTCAATAGCCATTCACGGTCTCTGGGCCCATGGTGTGACCCCATTGTAACTGACATTTGTGTTTTCATTGCAGTTGTCGGACAAGTAACCGCAAGAGTTTGATTGTGACCTCTAGCACATCACCTACACTACCACGGCCACACTCACCACTCCATGGCCACACAGGTGAGTGCTTGAAGGTTAAGAAAGGCGGAATGAAAAATGCCCAATTTCTTTCCTACTTCTCACTTTGTGCAGTTCAGTGCATTATGTTGTCACTTCACTTGGCTGACTGAAGCATACAGAGCTCACGGACATGCTTTCTATGGGCTAATGTGTTTTGTTTTTTGGTTTTTTATGCAAAAGCAAATTTATTTTTAAATAAAACCCTATGTCACAACTGTGTGTGGGAAAACAATAGAAGGTGTCTGTAAAGATAAACACATCATTATTAAAATGTTCAGAATTGCTTCCGGGCCGCCAGAAATCATCTCCTCCTCCAGTGATGTCTGTGCCCGTCGGCCAACGCTGGCTTCCATCAGGCACCTCATTTCCTAACTGAGGAAGCTGAGGTTGGGGAGATGCGGTTTCCCTCGGGTCATTGGAGGAGCCAGGAGCCCTGGATTCTGGTGCAGGCCCTCAGGGCTAATGTGTTTTTGACTCTTTGTTGTATCTTTCCTTAACCTGTGAACATTTCTTTGTGTTTTGTGCTTATCTTGGAGCCAGGTATGTATCCTGGATCCATGGCCTCTGTGCCTGTGTGTTGAGAGTGTGTAATGACTCCAGCTATCTGGCCATGTGATGAAGGCTTCATTAACATTTTGTTCTACCATGCCCAAGGATCAAAGCTTACAGAGATGATTTTCTTCCTCATGGAACTTCTGATAATTTTCCCTCTGTTAGAACAGGAGTCAAAAAAAGTACCGTATTTGCCGGCGTATAAGACGATTTTTTGGCCCTGAAAAATATGCCTCCAAGTGGGGGGTCGTCTTATACGCCAGGTACACTTCAGATAGACTGCCCATAGTGCTTGCCCCGTGCCATAGTGGCCTCCCGATGCCCGCCCACTTCATTCCACATACCGTTCAGGCATCAGCAGCGCTGCTGGGTGTATGCTCGGCTGTTATGCGATTTTGCTGTTATGCGATTTTACCACACTCGCAAAATCGCACACAGCCGACCATATAACAAACTCTGTATTTTGAGTGGAAATGTTAGGGGGTCGTCTTATACACCGAGTCGTCTTATACACCGGCAAATACAGTAAAAGAAATATGTGTTTCATGTTGACATTGATTTCACATACTGTAATTGAAGCAAACGATCTCATGCATTTAGACTGTTCCATACAGTCTCCACCAGACAGTATAAGGACTGATTTACTTGCCTCGGGCTGAGGAATATGTAAAAATTATGAGGCAGAAGACCTCATTTGAGTTAGTCATGTATTTTGCTCTAGAGGAGCCAGAGGAGCCAGATGAGGGGTTTTGGCTTTTCAACTTTGCTGAAGGGGTTGCTGCACTGCTACACTGTTTGTTGCTCTGCTATTTACAATGGAAGTTCCCAACCTAGGGGTAATGGAAATGGAGCAGGCTTGGAACCATAGAAAGCCATTCAGAGCTTGCTGCCTGGCTTTGGTAAGCCATGTCTGTCTTTGGGCCATAAAAGGGCACCAAAGCAGTGAAACAGTTTGGCATGAAGCCTAATAAGACAGGTCTGTTCCACTTGGGTTTGTCTCTTTGCTCACAGTTAACTGTGTCTTTGGAGAGAGAAAGTGAGGGTGCATATGGAGTAGTTGTTTGAGCACTTTGAGAATCTGGTGATTCTGAAATTGATCTTTGTCTTTGGGAGGAGCGTCTCATTTTGCTGGGCTCAGATCCAGCTATTCAGTGTGCTCATGACCCTTCTCCAATAGCAATTACACTCTCAAACACTAACTCTTACATTAGAAGACACCACCAAGAGCACAGAAGGCCCCAGGGAGTTGAGGACATACTTGGCCTTTAAAGCAAAGGTCTCATTGTGCTTAAGTACTTTCCCCTGCAAAATTGGCTGGGTAGTTATTAGTTCAGATAGTGCATTTCTACCCTGGAGTTTTGTAAAAACTCAGCATATGTCTGACTTTTCATCATATAGAAATAACTTTAGCACGTTTAGACCTTGTACATAATTTCCCAACTGTAATGTGAGTACTGGGCAGTAATTACTACTGGCTGCTCTTCTCTGAAATGATTATCTCTTTATTTAGATTCCTGGCAGTTAGAGTTTAGGACTAAATCTTTCCTACTCAAGTGGCTTTGATTGAGAACATCATCTGGCCTTCTCAGCCTGCCTGGGTCTGTGGACTCTAGCTTTGAGATAGTATGTGTAACATGCTTCGTACTCCATAAGTGTTAGCTGTCATCATCATCATCTCTCCCCAAATCACTGCATAAAATCCAGGTGGAGCTCAGATCCAGGGAGGAAGAATTGGCTTAAAAGCCAATTCATGGCTATAGACTCTATACGTCTATAAGCCAGCACTGATTGTTCCATCCAGATCAAACTTCACATCAGATTATATCCTGAGATCTTATAGATCCTGATATTTGGGTTCTCAGGATGTTCCAAGACTTCTTCACTTTAAAGTCTGGAATCTGTTGAATAATAAGAGATCTGTTAATTTGAAAGTAGGTCCATTTATTTCATACAACTCAGTTCAATATTAAATATATTTACTATATATAAGTAGATTGCAATTATAGTAAGGTCAGTTCAGGAGGCACTTACTCAGCCATTCTGGAAGTTGAACCTTCCTAGTTAATTTTTTTTTTTAACTAATAAACTTTGCTTTTTAGAGTAGTTTTAGACTCACAGCAAAACTGAGCAATAAGTACAGAGAGTTCCCATATACCCCATCCCCATACATGCACAACCTTCCCCATTATCAATATCCTGCACCAGCATGGCACATTTGTTAAATTGGTGAACCTTCAATGACACATCATTATCACCCAAAGACTATAGTATGTTAGGATTCACTCTTGGTGTCGTACATCCTGTGGTTTTTGGCAAATGTATAATCACATGTATCTAGCATTGTATTATCATAGAGAATAGTTTCACTGCCCTAAAATTTTTCTGTGCTGTACCTTTTCATCCCTCCCTTGCCCAACACCTGGCATCCACTGATCTTCTCATAGTCTCCATAATTTTGCTTTTTCCAGAATGTCATATGTAGTTGGAATCATACAGTCTGTAGCCTTTTCAGATTGGTTTATTTCACTTAATAACATGCATTTAAGATTCCTCCGTGTCTTATCATGGCTTGATAGTTCATTTCTTCTTAGCACTGAAGCTAACATCCCATGTCTAGATGTTTCAGTTTATCCACTCATCTACTGAAGGACATTTTGGTGACTTCCAAGTTTTGGCAATTATGGAGAAAGCTGCTATAAACATCTGTGTGTAGATTTTTACATGGACTTAAGTTTTCAGTTCATTTGGGTAAATACCAACGAGCATGATTGCTGGATTATATCGTTAAGGGTATGTTTAGTTTTAAAAGAAACTGCTAAACTGTCTTCCAAAGTAGCTGTACCATTTTGCATTCCCACCAGCCACAAATGAGAATTCCTATTGTTCCACATCCTTACCAGCATTTGGTGGTGTCTGTTTTGGAATTTGGCCATTCTAGTAGGTTTGTAGTGGTTATCGTGTTGTTTCAGTTTGCATATCTCTACTATATAATATATGATTTGAACATCTTTTCATATGCTTTCTTACTTGCCATCTGTATATCTTCTTTACGAAGTGTCTGTTCAGATTTTTTGCCCATTTTTAATCAGATTGTTTTTCTTACTGTTGAGGTTTAAGTGTTTTTTGTATCTTTTGGATAACAGTCCTTTATCAGATGTCTTTTGCAAATATTTTCTCTGTGGACTGTTTTCTCATATACTTTGGCAGAGCAGAAGTTTTTAATTTTAATAAAGACCAGCTTATCAATTATTTCCTTCATGGATCATGCCTTTGGTGTTTTATGTAAAATATCATTGTCATACCCAAGATCATCAAGATTTTCTCCTATGTTATCTTCTAGGAGTTTTATAGTTTTGTGTTTTATGTTTAGGTCTGTGATTCATTTTGAGTTAATTTTTATGAAAGTCTGTGTCTAAATACAGGTTTTCTGCATGTGGATGTTCAGTTATTCTAGCACTATTTGTTGAAAAGACTGTCTTTTTCCCATTGTATTGTTTTTGCTCCTTTGTCAAAAGTCAGTTGACTACATTTTTGTGGGTCTATTTCTGGCTCTGTATTCTGTCCCTGTTCTATTCCATTAATCTATTTGTCTGTTCTTTCTATAACAACACAGTCTTGATTACCATAGTTTTATAGTCTAAGTCTTGAAGTTTGGTAGTATCAGTCCTCCAACTTTGTTCTCCTCCTTCAATACTGAATTAGTTATTCTGGGTCTTTTGCCTCTCCTAATAAAGTTTAGAATCAATTTATTGATATCTACAAAATAATTTGCTGCGATTTTCATTGGGATTGCGTTGAATCTATAGATGAAGTTAAGAACTGACATCTTGACAATATCAAGTCTTTCTATCAATGAACATGGAATAGCTCTCCATTTATGTAGTTACTGTTTGATACCTTTCATCAGAGTTTTATAGTTTTTCTCATAGATTTTCTACATTATTAGATTTATACCTAAGTATTTCATTTTGGGGGGGTGCTAATGTGAATTCTAATATATTTTCAATTTCAAATTGCACTTGGTCATTAATAGTATAAAGTGTTGACTTTGTACATCAGCCTCATATTCCTTCAACTTTAACTGCTTATTAGTTATAGGAGGTTTTTTTGTCAATTTTTTTTTCAGATTTTCTACATAGGCCATCAAGTCATCTGCAAACAAAGGTAGTTTTATTTCTCCTTTCCCAATTTGTATACCTTTTATTTCCTCTTCTTATTGTATTAGCTAGGACCTACAGTATGATATTGAAAAGCAGTGGTAAGAAGATACATTTATGCCATTTTCCTGATCTTGGTGGAATAGCTTCAAGTTTCTCACCATTAAGTATGATATTAACTATAAGTTTTTGTAGGTTTCTTTATAAAGTTGAGGACTTCCCTTCTATTCTTAATTTGTTGAGCATTTTTAAAATCATGAGTGGTTTTTGGATTTTGCCAAATGTTTTTTT